AAAAAGTAAAATTAAAGAAATTATATTTTTCTATTATGATTTGTCGAGATCTCGTAAAGGAAAACGACTGGTGTAGTGTTACACGCTTGACAAATTGCGAGCGAGATAACATGGGCGCAGCAATGACGCAGACCTAGGCGTAGGACCATCTATACTGTCACTTGTAAAATCCAAACTTACTGACTCTTGTAGAGAATTTACTGTATACTGTAGTTAAAAGTTTTTGAATTCCATTTTTCAAAAATTCGGAGGTCTGGTAACAATAAATTGTTGAAAGGCATTTTCGACAGTCTCTTGATTCATAAACGTTTTCTCATTGAGGAAATGATTTAACCCTTTGCGGTCGTTTTTAGCTCAGGCAACGAACACTGATAATGTAATGCAAGATTATCATTTGTATTATGTTTCTATTATTATACTTCGTCAGTTTTACTATTTCTTATTTACTTTTTTCTACTTTACGTATATTTAACACAATAACACGTGGTTTCATTTTATACAAAAATTATATTTAAATTTCTCCATGGTGTGATATAAGTGCTTCGGTGGCTGAGAGCAGACATACGACCGCAAAGGGTTAAATGTTTGAAAAAATGATAATCAGTAAGGGACAGGTCAGGTAAATATGGTGAATGAGGCAGAGTTTCATATTTTAAGCTATTCAGCTTTTGCACCGTTATTTGTGAAATATGCGGTCGAGCATTTTCATGAAGCACAATTGTGCCCCTTCGGTTGGCCAATACCGGTTGTTTTACTCGCAATTTCTGGTGCATTGCTTCAATTTCGGCCCAATATTTCTCCGCATTAATTGTTTCACTCGTCCTTAAGAAATTATAGTGAATTACACCAGCCATTGACCACCATTGTGTGATCATTATCTTCCTTGGATGCAAGGCTGGCTTTGGCATATGTATGTCGTGGGGATTCATCTGCATCCAACCATTGGGCCGAACGTCGTCTATTGTCATATAGTATCCACTTTTCATTACAAGTGACAATGCGATCCAAAAACGGGTCCCTGTCATTTAGGATTAGCAGTGAATTGCATGTGTCTTGACGTTGGAGCTTCTGCCGTTCGTTAAGTTCAAGTGGCACCCACTTGTCCAGTTTTTTTTCACTTTCCCAATCGATTTCAGGTGACGTGAAATTGTCATGGGACTTACTCTGAATTCTTGGGCCAAATCTCTAACTGTTTGTCGCGTATTTGCTTCAATAGAAATCTGCAACTGTTCGTCGTTAATGGACGGCTCTGGTCTTCCGCGTGCTTCAATAACGAGGTTTTCATCTCCGGCTTGGAATTTTTGGAACCATCGACGCACTGTACGTTCGTTAACTGTATCATTCCCGAATGCAGCATTTATGTTTCGAGCAGCTGCTGCTGCGTTATGACCACGTTTCCACTCATATAAAAAAAGTACGCGAAAATCACGTTGATTCATTTTTGAAAGCAAGACGAATAAAAGCAAGATTAGCAACGTAAACAAAATAAATAAAGACTGAATCTGACAAAAGAAAGTTTACTCTTGAAGTTGTCATTTTAAAACATCTCCAAAGACAAATATTTACCGAGAAAATAAGGTTTAAAATATTGATACAACAGAATCGGACATTTCATATGTTACGACCTAATACATTATTGTACCGTATTATTTTATTCTATCAGATTGTTACAGATGAAATGACCGAAGTATGAATGAAACATTCCACGTTTGTAGTTTTAGTAAAAATGATATTAATCAGAGTATGATCCACTGGTTTCGATAAGCAAGGTTATTTATGCCTTTGTTAAAAGAAAACTCTTCATTTCTAGGTGCAACTAGGTCTTCAAAAAGATGCTTTACTTCAATTTCGTTATTAAATTTTCACTATAAAAAATGGTCAGTGGAATTTGATCTTGATTCATGGTTCGCTATCGCGCACAATCTGCCATTTAATAGTGAAACAATCGAATAGACGATTGTTGGTTCGACAATTATTTCGCTATTAAACAGCAAATGGTTTTGATTAACTTCAAGCTTTATTTTGGTTTACTTTTCGATTTAAATTAATGTATAATAAATGTTATCCGATAGCAAATTTGAGAACGCAATTGTGATATCGGTCATTTCATATGCAACAGCCTAATATAAATACACATAACTAAAAATAAAATCAATACAAAAAGACCGGAGCTAGTAGGTCAGTTCTTCAGTTTTCGATTAGTACAGCACCTGGAAAGAGGCTATGGGTGAATTTTCACCCGAGGAGCGTATGAGGGTTAAACGTTATAAAAATTTCTTCAAAAAAAAAAAAAAGCAAGTTTTTCAAAGATAAACGCGTAAGAATAAGAAAACGGGTTCGAGGAACCTCCCTTAAGGGCTTCCACGTGATGGCTCAGGGTTAACGGCGTGGGAAAGAAGAGAGAGAATGATCGGTCTAGTAGGCCCGTGGTCCGTGGTCCGTGGCGAAGCTTTGCTCGAACACGCAGAGGAGTAGCCTGTACTCTGTCGTTTACCTGGATTATTCGAGGTACTCGATACACCACCGCGAAATCCCGGACACATTTTCCGAACCAACGAGCTCTTGCCTTGCCTATAGGCTCGAACGGATGAATGCATGTAGAGTAGATGCACGCGAATCGTAGTCATCGATCGGCATTAACAATGTATAGGCGCTTTTCGTTCGCTTTGCGATAAGGCTTTGCTCTTTTTTTTTCCCTTCTGCTATTATACCACTCGCACAAAACGAGTGGTACTCTCTGACAAGAGAATCGCGATATTCACTCCTAATTAATTAACTCTCCCGTCGTGTAATCAGAAAAGTCCGAAAAGATCGATACTCTCTACTTGAATATTTTCTTTCCTTCTCTCTTTTTCTCTCTTTTTTCCCCGCGTAACAATTACTAAACACAACCCCGATCGAAGCAACCGGCGCGGCAAACATTCGACCGCTATAAATTGCACACGACAACACGGGAGACCGTTTCCAACGGCTATTCACACGTTTTTCTATTGTAGGCGAGCCTCGTGGATGAACGCACGATGGACACATGAATCGAAGCCATGATGGGCGCGCTTCAATTGATCCTCTTACTGTTGGCATCGTCACGCTATCTCGTACAGCCCATCGGTAAGTCAAACCTTCGTTTAACGATTCGATTGACCGGTAAAAAAGAACTGTGAACGTCGTTTTCAAAAGAATCAAGAGGGGGGCAGATGGATTCTAAGCGTGAACTTTTACGAAAATTGGCCCGTTTCCTTCCTTCCTTCCTTCCTTCCTTCCCTTCCCCTCCACAAACGGTGTTCTCAAACGTTGGAAACCGCGGCCAAAGGAACAGGCCTTAATCACGAAGAAGAGGAATGGAGTTACCCCTAGAGGTGGCCGGCTATCTTCATCCAGAGGAAACACCAACGTCGGTACCGGAGAACTTTCTCAATTAGTGCTCGAGCCCGATCGACCAGGAGCTCATTCGTATTCACGATGAAGCCGGGACCGTAGATAGAACAGACCGACAGCCCCCGCTGCTCTCTTCGACTCTAACCCTCACTCTCTCTTCCTCGACACTTTCTCCGCTCTTTTTCGCCCATTTCTTCCCCGTACAACTTCCCCTTCCCCCCAGAGCAATCCTTTCGTGAATTATTCCCGAACGTTTCTCTTCCCTCCACGCGTCCAAAGTTAAACGATAAAGGAATCGCCCACCTTTTAATCACCGTTTCCATTCGAAATCTGTTTGCCGGCAAATTAAAACTATTTCACGCGGCATAAAACACGGCAAGTGTGTATAAAGCTTCATTTTATTCACGCTTCTCTTTTTATCGCGTCGTTAACTGTCGTCGTTAATGCCCGGAAATCTTGAACACCTTCGCCACAGATTCCCGATGTACCTACTTACCTATCCTACCAGCAAACGGATAGAGAAGGAGAGTTGACGGGGCGAGAACAGGCCACGGAGCTGTGAAATATGTTCGCGAAATACGTTTAACGAAGATAAAGGTATCGCTTGTCTCGGAACAAGTTGCCAAGAGAAGCGGGGCTTATTCTTTGCCGTAACGATGTAGATAAATCATGACGTTAACCGTCCGGGGAAACTGATTTTTCCCAGCTTCCCGTTTCGCCGTGAAACAGCGCCGAACGAATAAATAAGTTAACGAAGCCTTCGGAAACGGAAAAAGTTTTCTCGACTTGTCCGGCTCGTGTCATCGGCAGACGAAACTATCCTGCGGAGGAGAGGAAAGAAAAAATGTCAAGAACGATCAGACGGGAAACGAGGCGCAGGTTAAAGCAAAGGGGATAGTAGCTGTCGGCTCTCTTTTAACTTAAATGTAACCGGCGTTGCGCAGTAATGGCGAGCAAATTTAGTTTGCGAGCTACAAGGCCAAATGTATTCTTCCCGTTGCGATTCGCATTCCATTAACGGGGGAATTTTCTTGCGAATAAGAGACGAAAAGCGGAAGAAGAAACGAATATCGTTCGTACCTGGTTGGTATACCGGTGTGGTCGGCCAGTTCTTTGTTCCATAAGAAACGACGGATTCCGCGAGGTAGAAGAAGGAAAATTTGTCTCGACCAAGAGTGTCTCTAATTTAAGGTTTCCTTTTCTTTTTTTTTTTTCTCCCGTTACTGTCCTCCGATGATTCACCGTTGCAATCTTATGCAAAGGATCAAACAAGGCTGCTACGACTAAATGGGACGACGTTGATCGTTGTAAACGTCCAGGGAGAAATATTTTAGCTCGGTGCGTTAACGGGAAATTTATACAACCTCGCGATAATAAAGTTCTCCGCCTGTAGAAAGTTATTTTAGAAGATCGACGTTAACCGGAACGTGCAGACGCAGATCGGCGAGAAGCGTTTCGACGTCGCGTCGAGAGAAATTCCGTGGAAAAAGTCGACACTGTAAACTACTCTTATCCGTTATCGAAAAGAAATAGTTTCTTATTTCCTGCACCGAGGTCCAAGAAAACTTGTTTGCATCGTTATTGGCTACTTTCAGGTCTGTACATCCCCATGCCAACATCCTTCCCCTGCATTGTAACAATCGCTCAATTTCCCTTATTTTCCTAAGACTCGTTGCTTTCGGTAGCCGAAGAGAAAAAAGAAAAACGATCTACCATGATGATCCGATAAACGTTTCGCGTTGGTTAAAAATTCATCCGTGTAAAATTGTTCAATTTCGAGAAGCTTCTCTTTCAGAAGCTTCCTTTGCTTCTCTATCGATACACGTTAATTGGAACAAAGGCATAAAATCGACGCGATTCGAGAGACAAATCGTCTAGATTTGATCGCCAGCTGGATGCAACGTCGATCATCCCCTACAGCCGCTGTTCACAAAGTTCACGCGAACCTTTATCCGATGGTCAAAGCCCTTTAAGCATCGATCGTGGCCGGTGTGCCGTGAATAGTTGAAACTCGCTCGTCGCCGATGAGACATCGAGCAACGCGTATCGCTGGTCACACTATTCGTGCAACGATACGCTGGATTGGTCAGGTGCGCGGCTACACACATACATACATATCTCACGTACCACCGCATTGATACACCATTGAAGATATTTACGTGGAGCATTCACCTATCTGCCTTTGTCGGTGCAAGAGAGTCCTCGTTCCGCTCATACCTCCCCGAATGTGTACTTGTATCCGCACACCTACGCCTATTCCTAACCGCACCGAATAGCATCGTTGCACGTGAACACAGTGTTCCCGATACAAAGAGGTCCCTAACGCGTACATCGATCGGCGGTGAAATGCTTCGCGATCGCCTCTCAGGAGCAATCTTCGCCAAACGACACCGTCTGCTACTTAAATAAGGATTTAATTGTGGATCAATTGTACGACTATAATTCGCGCTCCCTGATCTTCTCCCTCAACGACTCTCACTTTACTCTTTCTCTATTTCTCTAGTTCTTTCACTCTTCACATTCGGTCACGTCCATCGAACTTTTCGGCAGTCACGCACCCCTCGTTCACCCGATAATCTTGCGCTCTCGTTCCAAACAATTGTCGTTCACACCTCTATCCCTCGAACCCGAATATTCTTCGTTCTGTCGTCGAGGTAACTCCGGAGATTCCTTTAACGCATTTTATTTACTATCATTTGCGTACAGAGTGACGTTGTGACTTCCTAGATTCTAAAGCATTAACTAAACTTCCCTTGTTTGGGCCCAGTATTTATATGGGTCCCTACTGGAGGCGATGGGTGCTGTGGAAAGCGAGTGGAAGAGGACCCGAAAAGTCGGGAAAAGCCATCTTGACGTCTAATGGATCGGGCGAATTTTCAAGGAGATGCGTATCATTGGTCAGGACAAGGGAAACTCATTCGCATACCACAGGTTGGGTGGCGCCTACCGCGACAGTTTTTAACTAAACATTCACACGCGATATACTCTTCATTCGCACCTCTATCTTTCCAGTCCACACACTCAGTATTTGCAATCATTCTTCTAATCTAGCATTCCTACAATAGCGTCGCGTAACGAAGAGAATGATCAGAGCGTATCGAGAGTAAGTGGAATAGAGCGCGATAGCAAGCGATCCGATGAAATCCAAAGCAATACCCGCGGTTTCGTGTATCCACGGTAGATTTTGGAACGTATCACCTGCGGATACGGAGATCCTACTACTATGTCAGTCTGTGCCGTCAAGAACCTGAAGACTGAGATTTCGGGAGGATCACAGACGGGATCAGGCGCAGCGCGTGGAATACCTCTCTTGCCACTGTTTCATCCTCCTAACGTTTTAAAGTTCGTCGCTCTATCCCACTCAGTTTTCACGCGACCCGTTTGCTCTCTTCGTCACGCGACGCTACATGACCTAATTAGTAGATGTGACCGTTTTGGTCAATAACGAAACTGCGCGTGCTCCGTCTTTATGATTGTCCGAATAGGTTGGCCTATAATACCGCAACCAATTCCTTCCACAACTTCTCAGCTCTGTACAGATACTGATCTGCGGGCATTGTATAGCTGGTGGAAGAAATACAGCGAGGTCGTAAGATCAGTCAGGGGTTAAAGTTCACATGTTATGTCGATGAACGAATCGACACAAACTTGAGAAGATAAGGGCTCGAAATCTCAGTTAGGGCCACGTGAAGTGTGCCTCAGCTTCGATTCGGTCTCAATCGAAAAACGTAAAATCTGTGCTTGATATATTTCTTCCATCAACTATATCATCTTGCTCCTTGTGCACCCTTGTGACAAGAAGAACCATGTCGGATGACTACGCGCTTAGCAATTGTTCCGTACGGAACAACGGTTCCCAAAAAATCATAAAACGGCCCTGACCGAGCCTCGACGCAGAGGATTAACGGGACCGTTAGACGAGCGTACCCCCCGTAAAACTTGTACCGAACGGCAGCCTAACACATTTTTTACCACCCATTATACCTATCCTCTAATTAGCAACCTAGTCTTTTCCGTCTCCGATGTTCTATTTCCTCTCCTTCTGGGATTTTCCAAAACTCTAGCCACCTCGACCTTCCATCCCCACTTTTACCCTTTCCCTATCCTCTTGCAAATATCCTAAGACCATTCAACGAATTTCTATCGTTCCAATATTCTACCCCCAAATTTTAACTCCGCCTACACCAACTCTCATTTTCTATACTCCTCCAATTTTTCAAGCAGTCTTCCTCCGAACACCAAACGATACACTCAAAAAACGATCAGCCGAGTCTGTTGTAGAATCACAAGCCGAGACTTGTACCTTAACAATAAATTAAATAAAACTTGTACTCCGGGTTTTCGCTAGTTTCTCAGTATAAGACATTCCATTCGTCGTGATGCAAGTCCCGTATTCGTGGACCGATACGACACCACAGCAATCATTTAACTTCCTTTCCTATCTTGTTTGTTCCCAAATCATACTTTCCTCTGTCGTGACTCTCCGGCGAACAGTGATCCCTACTGTACCTTAACAATAAATTAAATAAAACTTGTACTCCGGGTTCTCGCTAGTTTCTCAGTATAAGACATTCCATTCGTCGTGATGCAAGTTCCGTATTCGTGGACCGATACGACACCACAACAATCATTTAACTTCCTTTCCTATCTTGTTTGTTTCCAAATCATACTTTCCTCTGTCGTGACTCTCCGGCGAACAGTGATCCCTACACATCCACGCTAAGGGCTCGAGGAAAATGGTCATCCCCTTCCCCTTACATAGATATGCTACTATAAGTATAACCTCAAGAACCTAGGGACTCTCAATCTTTGTATTAGCATCCAGTCAGAACGGTCACCGTTGAATAAACTCCTATACGTGATCGTGTGTCTTCCGTGGAACAACCATACCTTTACTATTCTACTCTCTATGTCACGTGGTGTGTAAGATATCGCTGTAATACGTGTTTTCGCGAACGCACATCTCTGCAACGATATTAGTGTTTGCTACGAGAAAGGAGCTGATCGCGACGAGTACGAAGAGATTTGGTTCTCTGTTCGAAGAACTGCATCGTATTTTCATCTCCTTCGAGTGAGAGAAAGAAAAAAAGAATCAGCCGCTCTAATCAAGAGACAGGGGAGACGGGCAAGAAGTTTGCAGACCCTTTGCGAATATCGCAGCTAAGCAAATAAGCCGAGCTAACCCCGAATTACCGGTCCCTCTCTTTGCCGGTGCAAATTAGCAGGCATGGTCGCGGAGCCGAGAGGAGCGTACAATTTTAAGGCACTCGCTCTAATAGGTAATGCAATTTAAGAAGCTCGTCAACCAGGATGCCAGGCCAGGACCATAGGCAGATGGCCAGTGGATGGGGTAAACCGAGAAGGAGCCAGTCCGTGTACGCTAGTCTACGTAGAGTGAATCTTAAATTCTGCGGCTGCCGCAACCGCCACGCTTCCGTCTGTATAACTGAGTGAATAACTTCGGTAATTACCAACGACCCAGTTGCAACCGAGTCAACTCTTCGGATTCAACCGAAGGAAAACGATAAAGAGGCGATAACTTTTGATACGGTGTCGCGTCGATTCGAATTTCTCCTCGACGTTTCCTACCACGATGGCAGAGAGCCGAACAAGAAACCCACCTTTTCCAACCTACTTACACGTATATATACACACACTTATGTACACCAGGGAAGAAACCGTAGGCGTCTTATTTGCAAACTAATCGACACCTTCCGCAAACTTTGGATTCGTACAACCAACAGAATATACCTACGTATAATTCGAAGGGGAAACAGGAAAGAGAAGGTTCCCTATTGACCTCTGGCTTTGGCACTGGTTCTTGGCTCGTTCAATCGGTAACCAGCACAGTGACTTCTGTGGTCCTCGTGAACGTCCTACGATATTTTCGAGTAATGCAATTTCTTGAGTTTTTCGGCTTTGCTCCAAGTCGTTACACGTGTACGTTATTCGATAGCAGGTCCAGGGGAAAATGGCCGTCGTCCGTAGCGCGTGTAAGAGAGAGAGAGAGAGAGAGAGAAGCGACCAACGAAAACTCCCTTGGTTATACGATGTCGTTCCGACGTCGTTGTTCTTAAACCAGCGTGGCGAAACGCGCCAGTGTAAATCGAGACATTGTGTTTTGGACGGAACTATAAAAACCGGGGGTGGAAAAACAAGGGAGAAAAGATAAAAGCTTAACGAGCGGAGTTTCGCGTGGAAAGACAAGACAAATATATCCACCGGTGGAAAGTTTTCACTCGAGCTGCGCTGAACTTTTCCAATATGCCGCTACGAAATGTCGCTCCTTTGAAATTCATTCGTTCCTCGAGGAAGCTTCGTTAAGCGCCCGGCGATCGGACCCACCCAACCCTCTCCCTCCCGTTTGCTCTCCCTCGACGAGTCGCGTGGATATTTTTACACGTGTACGACACCGCGTCGTTAATTTCCTCCGTCTATTTTCCAGTTAACCCAGATTCATTCAGACAACCGGAGAACACACACACACATATGTGTACGTATAGTAGAGAGGGTGCTTTTCAATATTTCCAGATGGTGCTATTCGCGGTGAGAAGCCGACCAGTGACGAGGAGACGCAGAATCGGAATAATGTCCTTTCTTCGGTAACTGCATCTGTCAAGGATGTCCTGGCGCAGACTGGCGGCAACGCTATGCTACCCTGTAGATTCACTGGTCCTGGAATAGTGAGTACACCCATATGTATATGTATATGCATACAGGCAAATATATGCGTTCTAGATGATGTATACAAAGGAACGTCGTCGGCGTCGGAGGCGGCTCATGGGGACAAGGGGATCTATATGTATATGTACAATCTGCAGCACGTTGCTGTGTATGCGCCCTATTATACATGAACAAGCCAATGCGCACCAAGGAAATATGCACACTGTACGCAAGTTTGCATAGCATTGTGTACAGGCGGCCACACCGATAAACAACCGTGTTGTTTGTTACAGATTGTACGCACACGGACTTAAACCGTTACACGTGTCTCAATCTGTCACTGTTCATTTCACCCGCTACATCCGACCATTTTTTTCTCTCTCTTCTCTTTTTCACCCATCTCTCGAACACCGAGCGAGACAACAGAGTAGTACACTTTCGGCCGTTTGTCGCGCGAAACCGAAAGGGTGCCTCGGCGTTGTAAAAATTTTCAACCGGGACGAAAGCCCGTCGACGTCGCGCGTAAACTCCGTTGCAAGTTTCACTGACGCAGCATCAATTATTTATCGGTAGAGAGAAAGAGAGAGAGAGGGTGGAGGGCAGCAGCAGCAGCAGCATCGGTGTGTAGAGCGTTGAGCACGCTATTTTAAATCCCACTGGCTGAACGAGCGTCCGGATGCCAGCCAGCATGGTGCATTTCAGCAGCGTAAACCCAATGCACGTGTTCCATCTCTCTCTCCCTCTCTCTCACCCTGCTTCGAACCGGTTGCTCGGTCTTTCTCGCGAGGTATGCTCGTTAATAAATGATTGGAGCAACGTGCTGCCGTATGCAAGCCTCGGGCTGAGGTCACCACGGCAAAGAGCGGAAATCGGGAAACGTATCTCGAGGAGGAAGAGAACGCGGTCGTTTCACGCGTACGAAGAGAGACCGAAGGAGAGAGCCGGATGAAAGAGAGAAGTTTCGCGAGGGCGGAGAGAACTCTTTCCTCTCCGGTCGGAACGTAATTTCTCGGTATTAATGTTGCAAACGTCAACGCGCTGGGAACCGCAGTTTCCTACCTACTGGAACGCGAGCCCAGCCTAGCCGGCCACCACCCTATCTCGATTCGTGTCACTCACACGTCGAGAAATTACCGGAGAAAATTTTCTATTCCCTTATGTATAGTCGCTGGAAGAAATACAGCGAGCTCGTAAAAACGATCGAGATCTCACAATGGATCCATACCGTGTCGACACACTGGCGACGATGGCACACTGGTCGAGCCATTCTGTGCAGCGTATACTGCGGCGATGACGGCGAACGTGTTGATGTATAGTCGGTGAAAGAAATGTAGGGAGCTCGTTAAATTGGTTAGGAATGAATGTCGACGTATTTCGAGTGTTCTAACAAAGGAATTGAGAAAAATGTGAAGAGGTGAAGATCTGAATTGTGTTATGTATTCATCGCGCCTGCACAGGCTCTGTCGTCCTTCAAATTCTTCTAATGCTCTTCACTTCAATCTGCATCAGTTCCACGTTCTTGGAATTCAGCTAACTAACTGATCTACGTTGACCGCACACGTCTACGACACTTCAGGCACAGAAAGAAACTTGAAATATTAAAAATGCTAATTGGCAGTTTTTATGTGTCCGACAGTACATGAAGTATCGTTAGTGTACAGATCCTAGAATACGGTCCCGGCTGCCGCTGCATCAAGCTGTACCGCCTTTTGATACTTTAATTTATGAGCGCACCGTATTTGTAACCACGTACTACACGTACAATGAGGAGAATCTAATTAAGATTCGCCGCGTGAACACACTAAATCGCGTTATCACGCAATTTTCTCGTCTTACCGTGGAAGAATTAGTACACGATTAACTTTTATTTCAACCGAGGGAGCGTTTTTTTTTTAATATTCTCGAGTGATTTTTACCCCTCGATGGTAACAATGCTAAATTACTGCACGTTTCTGTTAACTGTGTAGTCCGTAGCTGTTATTTTGTGTAACTTTCCAAAAGGGACGATCCTGGAGAATGCTCGAACGAAGAAAGCGAGACCAATTTGGCTGTGAGGGCGGTAGGAAAGCGGGATAAGTACTATAGATAAGAGGTGAGAGTTGGACAGAGGCTTGACAGCAGCGTGACTGTCTTAGGCGAGAATGTGATCACGACAGGGTGAGAAATTCATGCTTGGGGGCAATGGCGTGAGTAACGCTAAGAGGAAGTAGCTTTAGCTATATTCTTCCTCTCTACGCCCTCGCTGTTTTCCTCGCGGCTCAGCTCTATCTTCCGTGAAGCGCGCATGTGCCGTTGACAGCAGTTAATTACAAAGCGAACCTTCGCAGAGGAGCCGCAAAGAAAGGAAGGAAATATCGCGATCGTGGCGAGTAAGCGGTAATTTTCGACGGCCGATTAACCGTAAGAACTCTCTCACTGTGATACCTAACGCACTGTATGTACTCGTGAATCATCCATGATGTACATTTATGTATACAGCGATATACACACGCCTATATGTCCACATAGGCTGAGGGTCTCGATGACCGTTCTGATATCTTGCAACGCGACGAGAGATTAAACGTTACCGTGACCCAATTTCTGCGAGAAGTTATGATTCGTGGGATGGTAATTGTGCAGAAACTCTGCGACGAAAAGGGAACCTTTAATTACCTGTTGGAAAATTATTTTATATTTATGTTCTCTTCGACGGTTCTGGGGACCCGGAAATCAAAGTAATACTTTTCGAAAATAGATATACAGTAGAATCACGATACTTGCAAGCGAACGTTAACTTCATGACAGGGATTTGAATCATGAGATAAAATAACACGGTAGTTCGTTCTCTAGTAACAATCGGTAATTTTGTGTCCGCTACTGCCCTTTTCCCCGTTTTTATATATGATTTTCGCCGGCCGTTGGGACCGTGCAAGCCTTGGAGTGGGAGTGCAGCCTGCGGTCATTCTTGTTTAAGGCCCCCTTGGGTCTCGCGGTCATCGCCTAGGCGCATCGTACAGCGCCTTACAGCGCCTTACAGTACTAATCTGGTTGTGTTGTGCTAATAAAAATAAAGACGATTTCAAATTACCAAGGTAATCACGACAAGAAACACAGAGCTCCCGCCATCGGTGGCGCCAAAGCTCATAAAACCCTGGCCCAAAGGCCACTAAAAGACACTTCTATAAAGGGGTTGCCGCTAACACACCACATCGCAATAATCACCACGACGGATGATCCTTTTCGCATATCCACCTTTCCCAGTTTCAATGCGTGAAATTCGTGGTAAATTCTATCCAGGGAAAGCGTTTCTTAGGATATGTGAGAAAATCCGTCCCGAAGACGATAAAGCGAGCGCGCTCGGTGGGGGTGACTCGTCCCTTTGGGTTTTTCCCTAGGCCTGTTCGCGTAGGGGTGGACAGGGATCGGCAGGACGACTTCGCGTAGGGGTGGACAGGGATCGGCAGGACGACGCGTCCTCACTCTTCACGAGACCGTTGAACAGATACTTTTTGTGAACGACGCGACGCTCAGACGACGCGGATATAGTTTTGTATAAATATGCTATTGTGAAAACGTAGAAACGTTTATGACTTTTACGCGCCCACCCTGCTTCGAATCGGAGTACTTTCTGACACATATTTGATCCGAATAGAGATTCATTTCTCGATTGACAGATACGCTCTTCAAAGTATCGATAGACGTCATCACTTTCTGAGGGATCGTTTCAGGCTTCAGTAGCCGTTTTGCTATGAAAACAGACGCTCTTATATTCGTTCGTCGTCTTCTTCGGCTTGCACGATGTTTACCCACTCTTTCGAAACGGCTACGCGGAGGATACGCAGTGAAGAGTGGCAAATTGAGCTACTCGAAAACAATAGAAACCGGGGAATAGCTCACTCAACCGTCCATCTCTGACGACATATCGATATCGCTTCAGCTATGTTATTTTTGTCACGGAGAAGCAGCGGATGCATACACTCTTCCGCCACAATTGAAGCGCTATTATTTCACCTCCTGCCTTCGTACACGGTCTGTTCGAAAAGTAACCGAACTTTATTTTTTTAATTTTTTTCGGCTCACATATGGACTGTTGGTCCTTGTCATCTTCTAAGTATTCTCCTCCTCGACTGATACACTTATCCCAGAGGTGTTTCCACTTCCGGAAGCAGTCCTCGTGAGCAGTTTGTGGGATGTTTTTCAGAGACTGGAGAATTCGTTTTAACTTCCCCGATTGCGTGAAAACGTCTTCCTTTCAACACTGATTTCAATTTTGGGAACGTGAAAAAGTCAGCTGGTGCAAGGTCGAGGGAGTAGAGAAGCTGGAGAAGAACAATCATTCAACGTTTCGCACAAAATTCTGGAATTAACAAGGCGAATTGTCATGGTGGAACAGCCATGAGTTTTCACACCAAAGTTCGAGCCTCTTCTTTCGCACCCTCTCTCTCAAACGCCTCAAAACTTCAGCCCCCTGCGGCTTGGGTCCCGCGGTCGTTGTCTAGGCCCGTCGCACAGCGCCTTACGCTACGTTGCTGAGTAATTCAAAAAATTCGGTTATTTTTTGAACAAACCTGGTACATCAACCGGGCAGGAAATCTGACCAAATCTCTTCGTCTCTCCTACTCTTGGTCGGCGACGAATCGTACAAAGTGAAAGGAATCTGTAGGCTTTTCGTTATGATATTATTCTTGGCAACACGCGAATATCACGACGTTCGAAGGCACGTTGTTGTGCTCTAGGTGCAAGGTTCGGGGCTGTTGTAACTGAAAATGCACGACGCGCGTTCCCCTATAAAAGGACACCTACCGCTGGCCAAAGATCGATTCGCTCACGGCTAGAATTTCAATTTGAACCGCTACGGAATCGTTCCGATTGCGAGCGCTGATACGGCGACAGAGAAACTTAAAAAATTCGATTGAACGTGCCGTGCAATGCGGTACAACAGTTCGATGATTGCGATCCTAGGGTAGCATGCCACGAGTCAAGTTGCAAAGATAAAATAGCAGAAAGTTTCGTCCTGAACAACTCGTGGAATAAATTCCCG